GAGCAATGACTCATGCCATTTGTGCCGTAAACGCCTCACACCATAAATTCAAAATGTTTAGAACAGCATCGGCGAACTTTTGTGTGGAGTCCGGTCAAACTCTGGTGGCAGCCATGCTTGTTTTTTTTATTAATAGAGGACGCTTACGCGCGTAATTATTCCATATTTGGAATTCGCATTTCCTAATATGGTAGGATGAAAATACCCCGTAAAATACCGCAAAATTACGGCACGCTGTAACTTATGGCGTTACGGTGACAGATGTATAATAATATGAGGTTATTACGAGGATACCTCAAAGTATGCACGAAGACAGAATAGCTAGAGTATCGACCGACGTGCAGCGGAGGTCGATGCGACCGCGTACTGTCTGAGTGGGTAATTTCTATTTCACTGATCACAAACTTCAAAAAGATTGATGGTCCAGTCACTTTAAATTTTACGATTATGCAGTTATGGACATTTTGTTTGTGATTCACCTTAGCTCAGTGCCCAGGGGTAGACAGAGGGACAAAGTATTTCACATTTGCTCTGTTTTTGAGTCGACGTATAACTTTGCCCCTCCGGTGCATACTATAAAATGTTGTCTTCTTCGGGGGAAAGTCACTAAATGAAAATTGTTTGGGTCGAAGGTTCGATAATGAATGATCTGTTTGTTTTTTCGTGGTATTATCATGCTGGATATTGCCTTCAATGGTAAATAGTAAATGGCAAATTATATTTAAGAACGGGGAAGTATGCAAATAGCACACGGCGTTCTACCATGTCATTCCTATGAGTTCACACATTAAGCTGTATATGTCAGTTGTTTGCATTTTATTATCTGCGAAAATAATATAGATGATAATAGATTATAAAATTAGTCAACCTGCGATATTAGATTTATTAAAATCATGTTGTAATTTTCATTTTTTTTTTGCGCTGCCGTGATCCTTTATTTACAGATAGACCCAAAATATGATATCGATTTCGAGAATATCCTCTTTTTATGTCGTCTTCTGTTTGTCTTGATACATGTATAATAATATTGCAGCCTCTCAACTTATGCAAATGAAATGGGTCTCTATGTACATTTATAAACGACAGTGTTACCTAAATCGTATACGTTCTGGTATAGTATTTTTATTAATAAAACCTGATATATAGACTTAAACAGAGATTGATTACTTATTGAGTGTTACACGCTACATAGGAAAATCACACTTTTTTTCAATTATATTTTCGCTTTCGTTCACATCTGTTGCCATAGAAACGGGATGAGCACCTGCACTTATCCGGTTCATTACATTTGCCACCATTCAAGCAATGCTGTCTGCAAATAGCTATTTGAACAAAAACAAAAATATCAGTGCATTATATCAAATATATATTACTCCGCCAACTGAAGAGATTGTAAAATAACACATCGTATTTGTGTATGTAACCTCATTATTCTACATAATTATTATTATGATTATTGATTAGTATTACAGTTGATTAGTTCCTGGGCTCCCTGTGATTGCACACGCACTGTGTGCATAATGACTTCAGAAAAAATACAGTACCTCTATGACAAGCGCCACCACTCCAGCCTACTTTACACACACATATTCCTGGCGCCACGCACACTCCGTCGTTATAGCAACCTTGAATACACTTGGCTGCAGATTGAATAGTATCAAACGTTGGTACATAGTGTATATGAATGAAGAATATGTGTGGACACGCCATGGTACATGTCCGTGGTACTGATATGTCGCATAGTGTATATGAATGAAGAGTATGTGTGGACACACCATGGTACATGTCCGTAGTACTGATATGTCGCATAGTGTATATGAATGATGAGTATGTGTGGACACGCCATGGTACATGTCCGTAGTACTGATATGTCGCATAGTGTATATGAATGAAGAGTATGTGTGGACACACCATGGTACATGTCCGTAGTACTGATATGTCGCATAGTGTATATGAATGAAGAGTATGTGTGGACACGCCATGGTACATGTCCGTAGTACTGATATGTCGCATAGTGTATATGAATGAAGAGTATGTGTGGACACACCATGGTACATGTCCGTAGTACTGATATGTCGCATAGTGTATATGAATGAAGAGTATGTGTGGACACACCATGGTACATGTCCGTAGTACTGATATGTCGCATAGTGTATATGAATGAAGAGTATGTGTGGACACGCCATGGTACATTGTACATGTCCGTAGTACTGATATGTCGCATAGTGTATATGAATGAAGAGTATGTGTGGACACACCATGGTACATGTCCGTAGTACTGATATGTCGCATAGTGTATATGGATGAAGAGTATGTGTGGACACGCCATGGTACATGTCCGTAGTACTGATATGTCGCATAGTGTATATGAATGAAGAGTATGTGTGGACACGCCATGGTACATGTCCGTAGTACTGATATGTCGCATAGTGTATATGAATGAAGAATGTACAAAATGGAATTAAGTTGTGAAAATGTCATACCAACCTGTTTGGCAGTGGTCGCCATGGTAACCATGAACACAGATGCACTTTGACTGGCCGTTCACACTGACACACTTTCCTCCATTCATGCAAGTTAACGAACAGACGGCTGAAAAAAATCAGAAATAAGTGTATAACATGTACTGCATACTGTAGTTTATGGTCATTAAAGGCACACGCACTATGGGCTAAACTACAGACTCTATAGAGCCTACCTATGCTTAGAGTGATACTTTGCTGCATACGAATAATTATTTATTTCGTTTTTTCGTTTGTAATTTACCTGAGGACTATAACCAACCAATGTAGCAGCAATGATGTAGGTCCCAGTTATTCAGTAGTTTTATTCTTGTCTAATTTAGTAAGCATAATTTTGCAGATCACATATCCAACGCCCGTCAATACAATTGTTGGTGTACAATCAGTTCAATATCTCATATTGCCGATATTCATATCTTTATGTAACCGTAATGACCCCCCCCCCCCCGTACGAGTACGACCTATGAATGAGTTTCAGTAGAAAGGTATAACGACTGGATACACCAAGGATAATGCTACAAAATGATATACTTTTTGACCGATGTCCCCAAACTGGCGTATGATGACGAATTGATCCGCTTGGTGGTGGAACATTTACATGTAAATGTTTTTTTTTTTTTTTTAATATTAGGAAATGTGAAACAATGATGAATGATGTAAATGTTTGGGTTGTTATAACAGTATCAACTTGTTATTACCATGGGTATGGTCGGTATAGTATACAAAGACTGTGGCACACACCTTGTTGACAAAATCTTCCACTGTGAGACTTCGGACAGACACATAGATTTGGTCGTTTACAAATACCGCCATTCAGACATGGAGGGGAACACGACGCTGAAATGAAAAGAATAGAGTAAATAAAATGGCCATAAAATCACGTACTCTGGTGAGAGCCGATCTATATAAGCACGTGACCAGATGACGACCAATCCAGAGAATCGCGTGACCTGGTGAAGACGGATCCAACACTACATCACAAATTACCTATTTTTTTAAATAAGCAATAGCTTAGATAATTACTGGATAACATACAAATAAACTGATATTCTAGTTGTTTCCATGGCGATAAAGTTTCGAGGCTTCCTCTTCCACCATAGACGCAATTTTGAATACAAAAAGAGTAACAATATGCCCCAAAGTGTTCAAGCCGCTTTTCGAGGGTGACCTTAGTGTAAACCTTTAGTAAAAATTTGAATATCGCATCATACATTCAATCAATCAAAGAAATTGGCCAAATATATGCGACTTCAACATAAACGGTGTGTTGACATTGTGCCATAAAAGCATACTATAAACTGGTGTTCTATTTCGATACGCGAGAACTAAAAAAAATAACACTGATGATTACTTTCCGTTTTCGACATTGTAAAATTCTTTCGTTTTTATGCAAAAATACAGTACATTGTACTTTTATCAAGTAAAATCATGTTTATTAAAGTTATTGTTCATACATGAGTTGTTAAAACACTCGACATAGTTTCTAATTTCATTTAGCTTCTTTCAGTCATAATTCAAAACAAAAAAAGGCAAAAATGTAGAGAATATAGCAAATTACCTTTTTTCTGTAATATTCTTGTGTAACCGATAATTATGATTGTTATGGGTACATAGGGAAGACATTTCGTTATGAATAATTCTTATTAAACATTACTGAATTATCTTGTCAAAATAAGTTATTCAGGGTTTTTTCTCGCAAAAAACGAAAGAATTTCAGAATGTCAAAAACAGAAAGTCTTTATCGTAATGTTAATTGTTTCTGAACCTGCATACAATGTACTTTAACATAACTCCGTCCGACAACTACCGGTATAATTGATATTTTCACGTATATTTATTAATAGAACATCCTGTAAAAATGCCCATGCATGGAACTGACTTTGACACGAATTGGGCGCTACCTAGAGTCACCTCTCATTATGAATATTCATGATCAAATTTTGATCACTTTACTAGTCTATCAAACGTCACCCTGTCTTCAATGCCATGTGACGTCACT